AAATGATTGTTTTACACTGCCATCTTGTGGGCTATCCCTGTGTTTACTGTAAGCTAGAAAATGCCAACCTATCACAGGGTTTTCTGAGGCTAGAAGTATGACTTGCCAGTGATCATCCAGTGGATTTCTATGGCTTTGCTGGAATTTGATCCCTAGTCTCCGGGGACATTGGATGCATTTACCCAATAGAATGAATGCAGTTTGATCACACTTTAACTGCCATGGCTCACTGCTATGGAATCATGGGAGTTGTAGCTTTACAAGTTCTTTTTAGCATTCTCTGCTGGAGTGCTGTGCCTCTCCAAACTATAACACCCAAGATTCCATAACATTGTTCTATGGCAGTTAAAGTGAAGTCAAACTACATTAATTCAACAGTGTAGATACTTCCATAGTCAGATACTCAAACCATACCATAAAATTTGCAGCAACCCAGTGATTGCTGTGAGTTTTCTGGTCTGTATGGCTTTTGGAACATGGCCATACAGCCTGGAAAACTCACAGCAACCCCTACCACATATTTTGAAGACTGTACATTGATAGTCTTTTGTAGAAGCATCCACTTGATATGTTTCTCAAGGGCAAAACACTCTTCATTTCTCCATCCCAAGTAAAAGACTGGATGTTTTGTCTGCTTTGTATCATTTGCATACTTATTTCCCTTTCAGGCTGACACAATAGAAAAAGAGGAGAAACCTCCCTTCCTTCCTCCTTTTTCCTGTGTGCAACTGCATCCAACCTAACACTAGTAGAAGGTTGTGGCAAAGAACAAAGCGAATCTACACAATGGTTATATGGGACAGATTTGTGTATGCTCCCATTTTAAAATACTCTTAGGTAAATGAAAGTAAAGGAACATTTGCTTAAGTCCATCTCATAAGAGAAATGGATCTGGATACATGTTACTCAGAATTTGCTGCAGAGAGGTAGGCTCTCAAGTGGTAGGGATTGCACAAACATCTTTAAAAAGTTTGGGATTGATGGCATTCAGAATCCCCCAGCCAGGATGATCCTCTGAAGAATTCTGGGAGCTGTTGTTCAAAAACGTAATTTCCCCCGTCTCTGCTTCTATGCAATTTGAAGCCCAGACTTTTTTAAAAAAATAAAGCAATATCTGAGAATGAGCCATACTAATTCTGGCCCAGCATTTTCTGTTTCTGTTTAAGGAAGGTGTGTGAAAGACTGGAAAACTGGAATGAAGCGGGATAATGTATTTGGGTAGTATTTAACCATGGCTTGATAACAATACATTCTAATCCATGAAAACTAATGGTTAAGGCAAGGGATTTTTGAAAAGCAATCTACTTAGTTTTAAAAATTCTACCTAGAGGAAAAGTTCACCAATTGCCATACTGAATCATCAAAGATGAAAGTATAAGGATTGCAGGGATTTACCAGGCTTCAAAGTCATTGCAAAACTTCAAGCCTGTGTGATACAAAACTTGTTTAGTGCACAAAGTTTGTCAAGCACTTAAAATCAAGCTGATTTATGTGGAGTTAACCTGTCTGTAAGTAGGTTAAATGCATGGATTATAATGTTTAAAGTATTTTTATTTATGAATTTTTTTCCAAAGAGAGGGGTCTTACCGTTTTCAACAGGGCTTGGGGTGTTGTTTATGTTCCTTCAAGTTGTCTGCCAACATATGACCATCCCATAAATGTCATAGGGCTTTTTTTTTTAAAGCAAGGAAGACTCATGATGAAGTCTATAACCATTTTCTACTAAAAAATTGTCCCCTAATGGGGGCTCCATAAATGTATTTGGCACATTGGGGCCCCTTCCACACAGCTGAATAAAATCCCACATTTTCTGTTTTGAACTGGAATATATGGTAGTGCGGACTCTGATAACCCAGTTCAAAGCAGATATTTTGGGGTTTTTCTGCCTTGATATTCTGGGTTATGTGACTGATATTATGTGAAGGGTCCTGAGTGAGACTTCAGGAGTAAAGAGACAAGAGGAGGAATTTTTCAGTGGGGAGGAAGGAGTTAAAATGCACTCACATCGTGACCCTAATTTGAATCAGGCTCCCCATGGCTGTTTTTTTTTTTTTAAAGAGTGGACTTTGTCAATGCGCATATAGTTTCAGGGCCCTTCCACACAGCCCTGTATCCCAAAATATCAAGGCAAAAATTCCACAATATCTGCTATGAACTGGGTTATCTAAGTCCACACTCAGATAATGTGGGAATTTCTGCCTTGATATTGTGGAATATAGGGCTGTATGGAAGGGCCCTCTCCCTGTCTACTTAATATATTCTACAAAAAGTTTTTAGATAATGTTGTAATGCAGCTTCCAGTTTTGAAAAATGTGAACAAAAATCATTCACATTTTCTTCTTTGTAAACTGGCCTTAACTCAATGTGACTTAATTGTTATCATTGCACACTTGATTTGATCCATTATATTTTGATTTCATTGTAACCTGTGTTTCTTTAACAAGAAAGATAAAAGAAGAAAGAAAGTAACCCAATATTAAAAATACCTGGGTTTGGCTCTAGTTCCGTGAGTGAATACTTCCCATATTTTATATACGGCAGCTTACATGGACCCTCTTGCAGAAAAGAGAGAGGTGATTATTGCCAACTTCCTTTTTGTCCCACATCCACCACTGCAATGCCATGCCATCCCAAATTTCTGGAGGTTGCAGGAGGATGGGTTGGGGCAGAATTGGCCTAAACGGCAGCAAAAACAATAGCAACAAATCTTATTTTCCCTTTCCAAGCCAAGGAAACATCTAGATTGAGGATGCTGTTAAAATAATTCTGGATGCACCCTGTTATCCACAAATCTATGCAAGTTCCAGCTTTTTTGGTGCTTATGGAATACTAGTTATGCATTTATTTAATATTTTTGCATTACAGGTCACTTTACAAAGTAAAACAAGAAATCCGGTTTATATATCTGCACCTTCACACACACACAGAGGAAGGGAGGAGTCATACGAACATATAAACAAGCAGTATTTGACTGTTATTTTGGTTTGTAGCTGAGTAAGTGTTTTCTTCTAAAGTTTAATTGCAAGGTGTAAGAGTCTGTTTTTGTGTTTTTCTTAGATTCTCTTCACATATGTTGTAATCTGGTAGATATTTCCATTCTGCTATTCATTATTGCCAGATACGTGTCTATTAATTACAGCAATAATGAACGGTATTGTTGATGTTTTCTGATTCATAGTTGCAATTAGTATTTGCAGCATAATGTACTTCTAGAAATGGAGTGGGAAGTGGGGAAAGAGAAAGAGAGGTGAGGTGTGTTTTACTTTAAAGGGGATTCAGTGTAAGTACAGCCTGTTAAATTATTTACTGAAGACAGTTGGCCAATCCATTGTTCAAGAAGCCAAAGGTCACTTGCGTGCGCTGAGCTGATTCATAGGTAATCTGATACTGTACTTAGCTGTTTGCTTCCCAGGCAGGCAGTTGAATCTTATCCTTTCATTATGAGTCACAGAACCATTACATTTCTGTGAAGGAGGAGTTGTTTGAATTCTGAATGGTGCTGTTTAGCTAGTTTGGGGAGGGACAATGCATATGAATGGTGAGGTGCTGGTCTCTTTCATGAGGATTGCTTCATCAATATTAGCAGCCACTCCAAGGGCCTAAATACCCTGAAGTCACCAGATCCTGTTCTGACCTTGGAGGCTAAGCAGGGTCAGGCCTGGTTAGTATGTGGATGGAAGGCTGCAAATGAATATCAGGTGCTTTCAATTATATTTCAGGAACCAACAAGATCACTTCTGAGCATTCCTTGCTTAAGAAAACATGATGAAATTAATGGGAGTACCAAATGTGGATTTGTGACTGAAAGGTAAATATAAAGGTTAAGGTTTCCCCTTGACATTAAGTCTTGGGGGGTGGTGCTCATCTCCATTTCTAAGTCAAAGAGCCGGCATTGTCCGTAGATGCCTCCAAGGTCATGTGGCCGGCATGACTGCACGGAACGCGTTACCTTCCTGTCAAAGTGGTACCTATTGATCTACCCACATTTGCATGTTTTTGAACTGCTAGGTTGGCAAAAGCTGGAGCTAACAGTGGGAGCTCACCCTACTCCCCAGAATCTAACCACTGACCTTTTGGTCAGCAGATTCAGCAGCTCAGTGGTTTAACCCGCTGCACTATCAGGGGCCCCTGAAAGGTACATATACACAGCAGTTATTCTGTACCCTGACAGCAACTTTCACAATATTATATGTTGTTTTGACTTTAAAAGGGCAATGTCTCTTGCTCTGGAAATGGTTTTGCACAAATTGATGATTTCTAGGTTATGTGAATTGAGGGAACTAAACTATCATACATAGTCTGGAGATTCTTCAGGAGATTGTTGACCTAGATTATCCTTTTCAATTTTTGTTGTGACTCCCAAATTCTCAAAAGTAGCCAGTTAGTGAAAACATTGACTCTTGATGTCGTTTTCTTTTGCAGTTTCAGAACTTTGTTTTGTTGTGTTTCCACTGGTTTTCAGCGTTAGTCTGTAGCTTTATCCAGTAATACATTTGCTTTATTGATAAGATTTCATTCTAAATTAAAAAAATGTGGCTGTGCTGGTTGTATACTGTTACAATGAAAAGTGAAATGGTTGAAACAATCTATCTGAAATGTTGTCACTGATAGTTGGATTAACAATAGTGAAAGTTATGAGAGGAAACATTTCCAGTTGTTTGTTGAAAACTTATTGTTTGTTTATACTTCTTCTTCTCATTACCAGTAAAACTAGCACTGATTCACAGGTTTATCAAGATTTGTGTAATGTAACCCTGACATTAAACATTATGGGCTGTTTAATTCATGAGGGTTTGTTTTTATGGCTTCGGTTGGAAGTCGAATGAAGTGCCCTTGAGTTATCTTACTTCTCTGTGTTCCTGGCTCAAAAGTTTGTTCTGCTATTTGCTCTCTGCCGTGGAAAGGAGGAGTTTGCTGCCTCTGTAGCCATGCCTTTTGCAGAGGGAGCCTATCGTATTTCGCCCTAATCCTAACTGATAGCTACACCCAGGCAGCCTCTTTTATTGTTAAAGAGAATCTTTCTGGAGATCCTTCGCTGGGCTTTTCATTAAAGGGGCAAGCAGGATGGATGCTCTTAGGAACCAGAGAGGCGCTGCCATTTTCCCAGGGAAAGGAGGGTGCCGTTTTAATTTATATCCTGGTCTGGCAACTTGTTAGCAGCGTGTATGTCTTCCTGATTCAAGGAGCCTTTGTTTTTTTGTACCTGATAGAAGAAAGGACAGAATTAGTGGAGAATGATGCTGGGAAGAAGAGATGGACTTTTAATGAAAACTGGAAGAAAGGTTAAAGCTGTATACATCTGTATTGCACCATGCAATCCTAATCTGCTTTTATGACTGTTGTTTTCAGTGTACCCTTCTGGTTTTTTTGCTTCCACTTTGTGTTTTGCTTGGCAGCTTACAAAGTCCTGTAGGCACCAACACCCTCTTGAGAATCGTACAAGCGCAGCTACTTTATTCTTTGCTCCATGTGGCTTAAACAGAGTGAGGGTTTTCGTTGAGCCTAAAGGAAAATCACAGAGAAAAAGGAAAGCGACCAGATTGTTTTCAAAGTTGTACATTTGGATGGTATTGGAGAAAATGAAAAAGGAGACTGCCTCAAAGTCATTCCGGTTTAAAGCTAATTCGGGATCTCTTTCACGTGCTGTGAGCTGGATAAACTTCTCTACTCTGTCCAAGCAGACAAAAAGGTTATTTCGTAGTGATGGCGAACTTACATCTATATGCGGACAGCAAATGGACGAAGATGAAAGCTGGATCTACAGACCGCAGCACAGAAATGGTGATCATTCTGTTCATTATGGGTTTTCAATGCATTTTTGCTTATTTAAATGTCATTGTTGCTAATGATTTTTTCTTCATTAAATCGTTTCCCATTCTTTCCACTTTCTCCACAACCTGCCTTTCATTTGACCTTTTGGACTCTGTGACAAGTGTTTCCTTACAGCATGTCCTACTGCTTTGCAGGAAGGTACTAAGAACAATTGACCTTAGGAATCTTACCCATAGGAGACATATTCTCATCTCAGTATGTTTTAATACGGCAGTTTGTATTGTGATGACCCAGTAGAAATTTCACTTAAATTCTATGTGGATGGAGAAAGGTTGAAAGGGGAGGTGGAGGATTAATTTTACAAAGGACTTCTGCTATCCAAACATCTTCAAAGAAAGGGTTAGAGCATATGTATATGGCTAAGATGCACACAAAACAAGGGGGGAACCTTTCTTTCTTCACTTGTTGAAAGGGAAAGGAATGTGCTGGAACGTGGGTACATGGATGTGCAATAATGAGTGTTGGTCTACTTCTATTGTATTGCATAAATGGTTTTCATTATAGGCTGATAAGAGGGGCTAGCAATATTTTTTTCTTATGTGCCAGATATCATTAATGTATATGTGCCCATTGACTACAGCTATTTCTTTCTGTTCTGGAAACTTGCTGTGGACAGGCAACTTGGGGTCTTGTGGGCTGGCATCAGGCCATGCAAAAACCACTGAATAGCTATGCACTATAACATGGATGGAACATAGCATTTAGTCTTGTTGTCATCTATATAAAGTGATATATGCATCTCTATAGTAACTAATCACTATGTGTCCTGCAGCTCCATTGCATTCTAGCCTTAGTTATATTTTCCCTCACAAGGAGCAGGGGAATTGCTGGAGACATTGACATCATCACCCTTTCTTTTTCTGAATATCTACTTCCAACATTGGATGTTCCTTTCCTCCAGCCAAATATGCTTTCTACTTAAGGGTAATCAGTCGCTTTGTTTTTCACCTTACATAAAGCAAACCCATATTTAGTCAGGACTTGGAAGTACAGATAAACAGGATTTTACTGCATATTGAAGTAATCATTATCTATTCTGGCATATCATGAAAGAACATATCATCATCATCATAATCCAATGAATTACTTATTGTCGCATATCCTCCCCCCTTTTCTTCTTCTTTTATAATATACCGTATTCACCCTGTATTCTTAACAGATGACAATTCTCTTGCAGACTCTTGTTGGCATTTTAATTAGAAATCCTTGAAACTATATAAACTTAATGAAAAAATATCCCAATAGTGCTAAGAGGTTTTGAAAGCTTTTCTCATGAAAAACAAGGTATGTTTTTTAGACATCTCTACATAGGCAACTTGAGGATGGGTCCAAGTTTGCCATGTTGGATTTTGTTTTTTGTATTCTACACTTAAATTGGTCATATGGTAAAAGTGCCAGGAAACAGCATAATTCAGTTTCCAAAATAATTCTCATATGCTGCATCCCATCCAGATATTTCTGTGGTCTAGTTCCCCTTCTTCTTCTTCCGTTTTGAAGTCCTGTTGTCAGGGCTTGTGGACAAGAGAAAGACAGGCAGAGATTGAGATATATGAAATCAGACCTGTAATTTCAAGCCCTGACATAGTCCAAAACCTTTCAATGTGATTTTCATAAGACATGGTTGCAGTAAAAGGAACATAGAAGGGAAACACCCTTTAATTATATTGAGTGTTCTCCTCTTAAAACCATATATGTCAATTCAGCCAAACCCCAGAAATCATGCAAAATTTAGACTTTTAAAGGCTAGTTAAAATTGCTTGCATTCTCCCCCTTTATGTGAAGCTAACAACTCAATTATGTACTCTTATCATGAGCTGCCCTAGGCCATGTTTACATTTGGAAGTGGAAAAGTGTTTTAAAGTTCTGGCAGGTCTGGAGTGGTGTTTGGTCAGAGCTTCAAAACTCTGGGGCTCTGGGAGGGAAATGTACAAAGACCACTGTTGGTGGTGACCATAAAGTGACCTGGAGATCCATAAAAAGAGAGTACTACCAGACAAGACTTGCTTTTTTTTTTGTATGCTCTGTATACTGTAATCCATTACAAATGAACTGTGCTGTTTCAGGAACAGTTCCATCTAAGTGCTACTGTTTGCTTAGAACTATTGAGTCTAAAGTCAAATCAAGGTAAACACGATAGCTATAAAGTGTAAATATGAAGGCTGCAACTAGGTAAGGATTTCTTGCTTAGCAGTTGTTTGGCTACTATGTTTCCATGGTCTGTGTTTTGCAACTCTTGTTTGGAATAGTGAAAAGGGCCTGCATATGGAAATGTTACAAAGAAGATCACAGCTTTTCCTGGGTGTGCCCACAAGGATCCTAAGCTTGTGTTGGGCCCTGTGCACTGATTCAGCACCAGAAAAAAGGTGGTGGGTGACTAATGTTATCTTGTTTCCTTGTATGATTGCTTCATGATGTCTGTCTGTGAGCTCAGGACATTCTGGTGAAAGAGCTTTAAGGTGACTCTCCTAGAATCAGAGGAAGATAAAGGCGAATTTCCTGTGAACACACATTGCCAAGTCAACCCCATGATAACATTGCCTTTGAGTTGCCACAACTTGAAACAACTTGATGACACACAACAAGTTTGAATTCTCAACCAGATAGAAGGGTCTCACCAAACTACAAATTCCAGGAGATGTAACCATGATGGGTGAAATGAAATTGTAGTGGTGTTGTGTGAAAAGGCCATGTAAAGTAATTTTTAGGATTAGATCTAAGTGGAGACAGAACAGCTACTCTAGGTGAGAGTTGGAGGACTTACTAAACTAAACAAATGGGATGCGAAATTATTTCCACTTTAAAATATACACTTGTTCCCTCACATGTTGGTCAGAGTTAGCCTGGTGATATTTGGTCCAGGGTGTTGGACACTGACCATTGAATCTGAAGTTCAAATTACTGCATAGCCATAAATTATAGCAACCGATCACTTCTTGGCATAATTTACCTTAGAAAGTTGTTGAGAGGGTAAAATGAAAAAAGGCCACTCTGGTGACCTCAGAAGAAATGTCAGATGTTTCCCTTTTTAAAGAATTATGGAGGTGTTCAGTTGCAGGTTGGGCTTTTTAAGGTGTGGAAGTTAGAAGAACAAGCACTCAATCTACTCTTCATTGTGAAGCCTCCTTGCCACTGAAGAACAAAGGAAGGTATATTTCCCCTTCCACAATATTATCTGGGAAAAGATAATAAATTGCCTGTTTTTAGAAGCGCTTACTTAGACTGAGCTAATGAGTGTAGCTGTCATATTGTCCTTGGGTTTAAAGCAGTTCTTAAGAGAGCATGTAGCCATTGGAAGGATACTGGCAGTCAGTGTTCTCTTTATTATTATTATTTTTGGCAGATATAGTTCGTGTTCAACCAGCTTTGTATTATGTAGGACAAAAATACACAATAGTTTCCATTTAAGGCCAAGTGAAAGAAAATGAGGAGCAGCAGAAAATAGGAGAGAGTTTAATTCAGATGGCCTGGAGTGTTATGAGGGTATTATCCAGATGTTACTTTTTTTTCTTGAAAATGCCTGCTTCCCACAATTTCCAAAATTGTTTGAAGATCTTTGGTTAGCAGCTGACTCATTTGTTTTAATTTTAATTGGATGAAAGAATTGGAAAGTATGATGTTTTAGTGTATCAATGTGTTATATATTGTTGGCTCTATAAAGATGTAGGTCCTCTCTTGTTCATGACATTTCCACTAGACTTTCTTTGCAAGAGCTAGTTTTTCTGTTAATGAGAGTTCACACAGTCAGGCAGTAATGGGGTGAAAGGAAGGGGGGGGGGTGAACATAGTGAATTGGTTGTGATTGTGGCATTATTGTACACTCGACTTATATCAAATAAAGACTGCCATTGTACAGGGCACAGTAAGGGGTGGGAAGAGAGACCCATTTCCTCCTGTAATTGGACAGCAACTATAAAAGCTTGAATCACTTGTAATAATAGAGATTTCAGAGCATTTTTAAAAAGTGAGGAGTGGGGGAGGGACATAGTAGGTCATTCTAAAAACCTAGAAGTAGTCACTGGAGCCTGTGCAGTTAAAAGCAGTTGGTGGTTAGATTTTGGAATGATGGCATGCTTTTAAGATGTTTCAATTATAATAAATAGCTTCAAACTTTTAAAGACTACTCCCTGCAGATGTCATATGTACTAATACTTGTGTGGAAAAATCACCAAAAATTGTAACGTACCTAAATCGGGTAAGCTTTGAGGTTTAATTCCTACCTCCAGTTTCTGGGCCATTGAAAGTAAACAACAAGCAAACGATTAAGGCAAGCATTATCTACTTGTTTTAAAGATCTTTAGTAGTTTACTCCTGGAACTTGGCATGTATTGCCAATTGAAATTCAGCAATGTAGATCTTTGATGGGCTCTGGGATCTGTGAAAATAGCCACAGGTGTTATTATTATGGGTTGAATAGTATCCCCCGTTAATGTAAATGCTATTCAAGTACATATGGTTTTTTGTTCAAGTCAGCTTCAACTTATGGTGACCCTGTGAATGAGAGACCTTTGAGTCACCTTATGATCAACAGCCCTGTTCAGGTCTTGCAGACTCAGTACTAGGGATTCATTAATGGAGTCTATCCATCTGGAATGCAGTCTTCTTTTTTCCTTCTGTCTTCTATTCTAGACCAAGCAATATGGTCTTTTCTAATGAATCATGCTATGTGTAAAATGTAACAGCCTTAATTTAATCATCTTGGCTTCTAGGGGTAGTTGAGACTTGTTCTTGATTTGGACCAATTTATTTGTCTTTTAAAACTGTACACAGTATCTATAGAATTAATCTCCAACACCAAATTTCAAATGACATGTGGAAAACATATGTGGAAAACTGCATGAGAGGCTGTATACTGCTTCCAACAGTGGGAACTCAGTAAAGCTTGCAAAAGTTTTGTGAAGGAATGATGGTTGAAAATTGAAATATATTGCTGAATGGGTATGAATAGGTGA